AAAAAGGTTTGAACTGACGCAATTAAAATACATTAAGGTGATGTGATGGAACTGAGTTCCTCTTATGATTTTAGTCGTTTTAAGGGCAAAAGTTAATTTTGCCCTTAAAGCATTTCCCTTGATTTTGTCTTCCAATCCCATCATTACTTTCTTCTGATCTTTAATACTTACTGTACTTGCCACTGTACATGTCGCACCGCGGTATGACGTGCGTCACCACTGACCACCCGGAAACATGGGTCGGTGTTGTGCCAAAAATCGATTAGCTGCCAAATGGCAGTCACGGGAGCGTTCACGGGAGAACTTTAACAAGAATTTAACAAGATTAACGCTTAAAAACAACTATTTATTTACTCGATATTATAGCAAAGGTGTGTCTCAGTTGAACTTTTCCTTAATAAATGCACTATGACAGTCAAATCAGCTGCATTTCAAAAGCTGATTCGCGGAAGCGGGAGTGCACAGAGGGAGAACTCACAGTCTATTTCTTCAAAATTTAACAAGATAGCCACCTAAAAACAATTATTTGTTTGCTCAAAATTATAGTAAAGGTGTGTCTCAGTTGAACTTTTCCTTAATAAATGCCCTTTAATGGGCAAATCAGCTGCATTTCGCCTGGGCGACACAGCAAAATGCAGCTGATTTTACGTTTGCTCCAGGATTCCCGGAGCGAGATGAAGGTGGCTTGGTATGGCAAGCCGTGTCTCATTAATAACCTCTTTTACCTATTAATGAGACACTTGGCTTGCCATATGGCTTGAGGGCCCTCTAGTGGCTGAAAATATTAGTGTTCAATATTTTCCATGTCAGAATGAATGAAATTGTCAGATCTCAGCCCAAAATTGGGTAATAAATATGGGGGAAAAAACATAATAGTCGCTTCGGTGAATAAGTCGCAGGACTTGTAAATTTATGCAAAAAGGTGCAACGTATACAGCAAAAATTATGGTCGTAGTCCAAAGGTCCTCAAAGTTGGGACCATGATACACTAAGTTTTGGGTCTTGAGACCATCTATAAATATTAAACTTTAAAAACAATTTTCAATAGCGCGTTAGCTTTAACCTTTACAAAGAAATACATATTCATTCAACCTTTATTTAGACAGGTTAATCCCATTGAGCCTCGGGGACTAATTTACAAGAGAGACCTGATTTTAACAAAGAGTGATGATAACAGTGGATGAAAACATATAATGGTCATAAATGTATAAAAACTAAACGTTTGATAAGTAATTTTGTTAAACGGCTTGGCAATGTTAGTTTACTTCAGCTAAATGGTGTCATGAGACTTTTGTTTTTTATGTCAAAAACAGGAACGTTTTGGACGCACTGCTGAAGCTCATAGTAGAAATCAGCTCCATCTTCACCTCCACCCTTTCCTCTTCTCTACTTTTTTCCCCCATCAATGTCACCAGAGTCATCTCCCCTACCCTGTTGACAGTCGGGCCACCCATCAGTGAACTCCTCTGCTCTGACTGAAATGTGGAGCGCATTGCTGGTGAACACCAGCCGTTGCGTTCTGCATCAGTGGGGTTTGATGTCACAGGGCTAACATAGCGGCGCTAGTAATAGGATTTCATGCTCGACGCTGACGGAGCCCTGCGGCACGAAATGGGCTTTCACTTCCCCCAGGAATTGCTTGGCCAAGCACAGCGAGCAAGGAGAACATTTTGGAAACATATATTGAAATGTAATGAATAAAAGGTCTTCCCTCCATTTCTGCTGAAGGAAAAAGAAATGCTTCACAGATTCTGCATAGTTTATGTCCACAATGAGGTAGTTATCACACCTAACAGAGATGCTCCCAATTTACCGAAACAAGGCAGTGCATTACGAACGATAATGAGTTTCACCATCATTTCTTAACTCTGCTCCCCAGTTTGGTTTACGACATTCAACTTTTCCCAAATTCTTTTTCCCCCTCCGTGTTTTCTATTATTATGGTTTTTTTTATCTCCACAGCATGACTCTATTGACACCTATATTCATCTGTCAGTGAAAAAAAGACAAGTGCTTTTTTTCGATGCCTGTTGTGTTGTTTCTGACTCATTTCTCTCCCCGCCCTGTGTCCTTTGTCTTCTCTCCCATCAGTGGAATATTGAAGAGTCCACCGAGCATGTGAGTAACCCCCATGTGTGCTGCTGGGTTTTCTTGCAGGGAAGGTTCTTCTCTCTGCAATTTGGGGTTGCTGTGTTTGCTTGTGTGTTCTGGATAACTAAGTTGCTGTGTTTGGGTTTGTGTTTGCCTGTGTGTGTGTTTATTTGTGTGTAAGCCACGCCTGTAATCCACTAAGTGTGACTCAACATGAAAGATCATAACCCCATATAAGTGTGTGCACAAATGTTTTCTGGTTTTATACGTGTTTGCATGATATTTATCCAAGCACTACTAAGACTGCGAAGCATGATAATTTTTTTAGGATTGTGTACAGGTCCACATTTTACTACAAGATAAACTAGTAACACCTCTGCACTTGCCAGTGGGAGGTCTGCAGTGCAGTGCATAGAGTGCCTTCCACCACTGAGTGTACCATGTGCCACTATCTTAGTGCGATGCTGACATTAATCAGGCTCGCCTAACCTGCTGTCTCCACCACCGTTCCAGATGACATGTCTATCTGAGGGGAGGAGCTGTGGGTTTTATCAGCTCCACACATCTCTGAGATTTCCACCAGCCTTTCATGTTCTTTTCATTTGCCTGGATGGCAGCTTGCTGCTCCATTGCTGTCATGCAGCCCTTTTGTTATGGCTTATTACCTCCTAGACGTCATATTGCAGAGCCATAAATGCAGAGCCTCTTACTGTTCCTAGTCAGACATTCAATGAATGCTTGCCTCACTTGCAAATAGGGTTTTAGTATTCATACAATGGTAAAAAAATCTTTAGAAAAGAGGTTTACATCTTTCAAGATACCGTATGAAAGGAATAATTGGGACAATTTTTACCCTGTTTCCACAGACATGTACTATAGAAAGCTGGTTAATCAACACATTAACCACCTGCAAAGGTTGAGGAAAGTTGAGGGGGTTTTCTCCATCTGTGTATCCACCAATTTTAGACTGGAGTAATTTTGATGTCACTAATCAATGATAAAAGTTAAAAAACGTAGATGTGCCTATTCACTTGTTTTATCCATCAATCCATTATCTTTTACCTGCTTCTTCCTTTTTGGGTTGTGGAGATCACTTGTACCCATGTCCAGCTATCACTGTGCAAGAGGCGGGGGACACCCTGGGCAGGTCTCCAGTCCATCACAGGGACACATAGAGACAAACAAGACAAACAACCATTCATTCCCTCACTCGTTTTAGAATAATAAAAACATAAAAAGTGCCGTATTTTTCAGTGTATAAGTCGCATCAGTCAAAAAAAGCATCACGAAGAGGGAAAAAAACATATATAAGTCGCTTTGGCATATAAGTTGCATTCATTATACCATACCATTTTATTTATAAAGCACTTTAAACAGCAACAGGGCCAACCGAAGTGCTGTACGAATAGAAACAAACAGGCAAAGCACACAGCAACACATACCGTAAAATCAAAATATAGAAACAAAATAATAGCAGATAATAACATAATGACTATCACAGTGTGATGCGTACAGGTTCAACACAAATCATAGTGTTGAAAGCTAGGGAATAGTAGTGGTTTTTTTAAAGTGGGATTTAAAAACTGTAAGGGAGGGGGCCTGCCTGACGAGCAGCGGTAACTCATTCCATAGTCTTGGGCCTGCAACAGAGAAGGCCCTGTCACCTCTGCGCTTAAGACGGGTTCCTGGAACTGTGAGAAGCAGCTGGTCCGTTGACCTCAGAGAACGCGGTGGGACACACATCACCGCTGACCCGTCGCGTTTATTATGCGTTTATTTAATGGTCAAAACAGCTTCATTTTGCCTGGTTGGCGCAGTGCCATCCATCCACCCTTCGTGTCTGGAGCCTCCAGCTCTCCAGCGTTCCTCTGCCTGCACCAGCTGAGTGAAGCGAGCGCACTCGAGAGGACTCGCTGTTGCAGTTCTTAGAAATTTAACAAGATTAACACTTAAAAACAATTATTTGTTTGTGCGACCTTATAGCAAAGGTGTGTCTCAGTTTAACTTTTCCTTAATAAATGCACCTTAATGGTCAAAACAGCTTCATTTCGCCTGGGCGGCGTGGTGCCATCCATCCATCGCGGCCAGAGCTGCTAGCTCTCCAGCGTTCCTTCAGCATATAAGTCACAAGACTGACATCTATGTAAAATAACTGTGACTTGTATGCCGGAAAATACGATAATTGTTAAACTTGTTTCAGTTACACTTTACCCAACTGTCAGAAACAGTAGACGACCTGTGCAGGACACCTGTGACAGTTGGTGCAACTCTTACATAGAAAACTGCAGCAGGTCCAGTGCCAGCTTGTCAAACAGGTAAAATGGCAATGCTTGAGCCTTTTTTTGCCCTTAAACCAGCAGGGTGTGTTCAGCTTGTTGTTTTTACCCGATAATCGACAGATTCCTGGCCTCTCAGTAAACAGATTCATCAGCTCCAGCCACACACTATGAGTCAGACTTGGCTCATCTCCTTCTACTTTTAATGCATTGATTAACACCTGACAGACACCAAGCTAGATGCCGTCAGAGGATGTTGTCTGTTCACGCATCTTTATTTTCCTCAGCATAATCTTTGCCAGGTAACTAACGTAGTGTGACAAGCCATGAACAGATGCCTGCAGCAGAAACATTAGTGTGTGTTGTTGACCCAAGCCTTGCTTACAAGCACTAAGATTTAAGAAGCTATTTTTAAAAGTTTAGTTAAACGTCACACTATTAGTGCAAAGCAAGACACATAGAAAACATTAAATATCCTCTGTTGGCCAAAGAGAAGCAGCTCTGTTTGTTTGGTCTGTGTCGCCCATTTTCTCCTGACATTTTCTTCACCGAGGATAGTGGTGGAGAAAGCTTTATAGAGAAGAATCCATTTCTATAACTAGTTGACTTGATAATCTTCGTAATGCCCTTTGGTGCTGCTCTAAGCATTTGCTCTGAGGGAAAACTTTGAAGCTTTGCTTTTTCTATTTTGTGCTGAGTTTCCAAAGTGTTACCAGACCTGAATCGACCTTGCCAGAGCTGAGAGAGGGTGGATCGCTGCAGCTGCCATTGCTGTGATTGTTAAAGCCATTTTTGTATGATTAAAGTAATGAGACTTCCTCCATAAAGTTAAAATGGGTTTATTATACAGTAATTTAGCAGCTTTTTTTCTCCATTCGTCTCTAAAGGTTGGCATGGGAGCTCTAAATGTGGCCTAAAAAGAGAAGCATTGTTGAATAAAGCTTGCTTATAGACTGTTGAATGTTCTTCTGTGTTGAGGAAATAAAATCTTCATTAGCAAGAGAAACAACAGTAGAGCCAAGCCATATAATACTCCATGAGTGTGAGGTTTGAGCTGAGCTCCAGCAGGAAAGCTTGCAGACATCTATATGTTCGACTCCTCCAGTCAGAAGCAGACAACTGAAGCACGTCTACTGAAAACTTGAGCATTCCTTTGTTCTCTGAGTGTGTGCTCATGTTCACAGTTTTGTCTGAATGCATACTTTAGTTAATTATCATTTTGTATTGTTTTTAAATATTATAACGACCAAGCATTCTTCATTTCCAAACAATTTACCTTTAGAGAGTTGGTCGTTCTCAGAATGGTTTAAACTATTCTGGAGGTTAGGCCTGTCACAATAGCAAATTTTGTCGGGCGATTAATTGTCTCAGAAATTATCGCAATTAACGATAAAATTGTTTGAAATTTAACAATAATTAGTAATATCAAATTTAAGAAGAAATGTTGGCAAAATGTTGTGTGTAGTGCCTTTTTTTACCACTAGATGGCAGTATAAGGCTGTTTGAATTGAAAGATGGACAGTGAGGGAGCGAGAAACGTGTCTCTTTAAGAAGAATAGGAGTTAAAATGAATTTTAAAGAGAAAAGAGAAAGGGTGGGGTCAGTGAAGAGCACCAGAGTTGAGCCTTTTGTCACCCAGTGTCCAGTAGAAAGAGAGAGACACAAAGAAATGATAAAGCCGATAAATGAAAATGAGGTTGAACATTTTCATTTATCATCTGATTAATTGATCAATTAATTTATTGTTTATTGCAACAGGCCTACTGGAGGTCTTTCTAAAGACATTGTTTCTGGTCATCTGTCCAGTTTTTGAATTTAAGGAAATTAAAAGTCAATTAGGCTTTTTGTTTGTTTTAAAGTATTTGATCTTATTAGTATTAATCTATAAAGCCCATATGCATAAAATGGCTACTAACCTATTTGATAAATGAATGCTGTTTCCATTTCACTGGCAAGCAGTATTTTAGCTCGGTTTTCAGCGAGCAGTCTTTCACCAAGATGCATTTATTCATAGACAATAGCAAAGGTTATGTTACCAGGATTTATACAGTAATTTGCACCAATAAGGCCATTTCCTAAAGCTAGATGAGAACTTGGCACACAGTAGCTGATGAGCTGAAGGATATAGCATCTCACATATATTTGTTTTTATTTCAGATTCATTTTTTTAATTAAATACTGCTCATTCGCTGTCGTTTTTTGAGGCAGACTATTTCTGTTTACAGCTTGTTAAAGTCTGTCTCAACCCCTCCTATTTTTATTTAATTTAAAGATACAGTGTTATTATATGCCAGTTTTTCAGCTTAGACTGGACTATAAATAAGTGAAAAAGCACATATACAGTAGTCTCTCGTTTATCGCAGGGGATCCGTACCCTGAAGACTGTGATAAGTGAAAAAACGCGAAATAGGAATAGTAGTACAAGGAGTGAGTAGTAGTATGTTTTATATATATAGGCATTTTAAACTCTTCCCACACTCATGCAATATTCTAAACAATGTTTCTAAACTCTAATCACTTTAAAAGAGCACAGAATGGCATGGCTTCAGCTCCCTGCCTCCTCTGCTCTTTGCCACCTGCAATCGCTCTTGACCACGCCCACTTCTCCATTCTGCATGGTGAACAGCTGATCAGCTGCAGCAAGAAGTTTATCCTGTAGTATGGGCTGCACAAATGTGCAGGAGGTGCTAAATAATTTTAAATAATTTATTTTAAATAAAAATTCCATGCCAATCATGTGGCTGGCTCATCCATCAATCAGCTAATTGTGTCATGTCCAATTTTATTTTGAAAAACCACGATAAAGCGAGTTTGCGATAAAACAAACCGCGAAGTAGCGAGGGACTACTGTAATTTTCAAAATGGCCAATTCAATTTTAAAATGGTCCAATATGGGTTTTTTTTTCTGAAGTAATACAAAAACGAATGAGGGTGATTAAAACTTTTGCACAAAACTATACCGGTATGTATCGTTGAGTGTTGCACTTGTGTGTGTGTGTGTGTGTGTGTGTGTGCACGTGTTTGTCTGTTTACAAACATGCTTTGTTGAAGCCCTGCGTGTTTAATTCCAGCGTGTGGGTGTGTGTTTATTCCAGCTGATGCAGACTGGTGATGTGAGAACCAGCTCTGCAGCAGTTTACCAGTAACCGTGTTGCCTCAGTTGTTTTTCTGTCCGTTTGTTCCTGACGGCTGACTTACTGATGCGTTCAAGAACATTAGTGTGTCTGTTTTTGTGTCGCGACTGTTTGAACGTTCAACCAGAGGAGAATAAATGCCAAGAACGAAGTTAATAGAAGTCTAACTTTTGATTTATTTCAATTAGTTGTATATATTCAACCATGTATAATAGTTGTGTATATATACAACCATGTATAAGAGTTGTATATAGAACACTGATAGTCAGAATTGTACAATTTTGCAGTGTAGCAATGATCCTGAGCTCCTCTGGGTATAATCTCACGCTCATCCGTGCAGCAGGCATGAACACTGACACACTGGTGATGTTCTGGTTCGTTTGGTTTGTTGGTTAATGGGTGCAGAGTGTGCCTTACGATCAGGCGTTTTTCTTGTCTAAGAAAAATTCCTCATTCTGTTTGTGTGCCTTGAAAATACTTTTCAGGTAATTTTTTTTTTTCGTGTTTTGTTTTAGGTAGTTTGATTACAAACGGGGGAAAAAAAGGGTATGGAGAAACGGGGGTTTATCTCATAATGGTTCTTTTTGGTGCTGTGTGTTCTTTCATGGGACAAGAGGTTTGTGAGGTCTCCCACCCAAGCACTGAGAAGGTTTCACTCAGGCTCACTGGTTTTTGTTGCTTTGCTGTTTTACAGGAAGCTATTATTGGTGGGCTGCACGCCGAAACCACATACTCTGTCACTGTGGCAGCATACACCACGAAGGGAGATGGAGCCCGTAGCAAAGCTAAAGTCATCACTACAACTGGAGCAGGTCAGAGGCAGTTTTATGGGTTTTACTGAGGTGTGAACATAACATTTAAAGTGAATGAGAGGATGTGGGTTCTGTCAGCAGGACATTTATAACAAACAAGACAAGTAGCTTCCATTGGCGTAATGACCTTGTTTATAACAAATTGTTTCTTTTTTGTTGTATATTCTTAGTACCAGGTAAACCCACCATGATGATCAGCGCCACCATGGGCAATACAGCGCTTATCCAATGGCATCCGCCTAAGGAAATGGTGGGTGAGCTGATAGGCTACCAGCTGCAGTACAAGCGCTCAGACGAAGAAAGTTACACCTCACGTGAGCTGAAAAAAACCGACAGCCACTTCACTGTCACTAGTCTGCACAAAGGTGCTACCTATGTGTTCCGACTGAGCGCCCGCAACCGCGCCGGCATTGGCGAGGCCTACATTAAAGAAATCAGCACCACTGAAGATGTGCCTTCGGGCTTCCCGCTCAACCTCAGAGTCACCGGACTGACCCAGTCGAGCACCCAACTGACTTGGGACCCCCCGCTGCTTGCTGAAAGGAACGGCAAGATCATTCACTACTTGGTGGTGTACAGAGATATAAACACTCAGCAAGACAACACCAGCCGCACCACCGACACTCACATGACTATCGAAGGCCTTAATCCTGACACCACTTACGACATCCGTGTGCAGGCTTTCACCAGCAAGGGGGAAGGACCACTAAGCCCCAGCATCCAGAGCAGGACCATGTCAAATGGTAGGATGTTAAAAAGCATTTTTGCATAAACGCTGCAGGGATGTTTGATTTGAAAACATAAAATCAGGTTTGAAAACATGCAGAGTACTTGATATCTGTACAGCTCATGAATTTTCATACCGCTAGCTGGTGCCTCAAACTCCGTAGTTCTGGTTAGGTCTCTGTCAGAGCCATGTCTTTCTCATCTTGCACTCACAGTATATTGCAGCACTGTTTATTGATTTATAGAGTGCTAATCTCATTACACGCTACAGTCACATTACCACGCATCCTCATCCTCCATCCCATTACACACAAATCTAAAGCGTACCCTGCATGTATCTTCTTGATGCACTTTATAATCCTATAAACGTAAAATCTCTTATTAATTACTATGATTGATACATTTTTTCAGACTCAGGTTTCCACTCCTATCTGATATGTTTCCCAGTGATCTCAGGTTGTTTTAAATGAAGTCCAAGTGCTGATAGAGCAGGCTTATGAAGAGAAAAACATGTATATTTTGTGATTTGTGGTCATGCATGAATTTGGACATCTTTAAATACACCATGACTTGTTAACTAAGATGTAGATGTAGAATTTGTGCTAATTGGAAATTGAAAGGGCTACTTCTTGTCATATATTTTGTGTGTATTTGAGATTTGATTTGAGATTTTAATTAAATAATTTTTCCATCCTAGATTTCCCAGCCGTTAACTTTGGTGTCAAAGCTGTCACAAAAACATCTGTCCTCTTAACCTGGGATCTGCCAGAAAACTACAAATCCCCGGCTCCTTTCAAGGTAAGTTATTAATCAAAAAACAAACAAAATAATAACACAATTTTATTAAAACCAGATTATATACAATACATTGCAGCATTATGGATTTATCAGTATTGCTTCACATATATGACACATGAAGTACATGTATTTGCAGTTTGGTTATATATATATATATATATATATATATATATATATGTATGTATGT